TACCATGCTTTTGCTCCCCTCGTGTACGTTATTGATGTGAATTGTAAAAAGTTGAGGCTCCAGCACAGATCCTTATGGCACTCCCCTTGTCAACCATGTTGTTATAGGTCTAGAGTCACATGTAAGGCAGACCAATAAGTATGGTAGAGTTCCATCCCTAAAGGACATTACTGAACTAGCTGGGTTTTTATGACAATCAATTATGGTAGTTGTGGTCACTATCACCAAGTTCGCTTTATGTTCCAGATTTTATTCGTTGAATTTGAAGACTTGCCCTGAGACGACAAACAGTGTCATCAAAACTCAGCAGGTTTGACAGAATTTGTGGAGAGAAAGGAAGGGAGTCTAAAACTGAAGGGGTGTCATGTTGGATTTGAGATGCCAACTCTATTTCTCTCTTTTGGGGCAAAGGTTTAACCTGTTCTCTGTTACTTCAGAGTCCAGTGCGGGACACTTATAAGTCTACTGTATATGTCACCATGTTGTGTTTCTTGAAGTAGCCCAAGAGGTTGAGGGATAGGTGGACATACCAGCAAGTTGAGGGAGCATTTAGCTGCATGGAGATCCTCCTCTGACAATTTTTTCCACCTTCAATTGATAGGAAACAGGAAGGCACAGGCTAGTTGGCTTGTATCTGTAATTGGGGAAAATATTAGCAACTATTATTAAAGGAGTTTTATAGGATGGCATTTAGATCAGTTCAAGGTAATTCAAGCAGAGTTGACGAGGTTTTGTAGTCAAATGTGAAACTGCTTTCAATCTGGCGTTATTTGTGGAAGAAATGTGCTGTGAATTATGGGGAACCAATGGTTATACTGCACTTGGATTTTTCTGAAAGCATTTGTTAAAATGCAACATGAAGGATTACAGAAAATAAACGGTCATGGTATAGGGAATGATATTTTGGCATAAATTGTAAATTGGCTGGCTAACAGGAAGCAGAGTAGGCAGAAATGGTTCTTTCAGGTTGGCAAGATGAAGTGAGTGGTTTTCCACAATTGTGGAACCTTGACGTTTGCAAATGATATGAATGAATGATGTGGGAGCAGGAGTCGGCCATTCTGTCCATTGAGCCCACTCTGCCATTCAACGAGATTACAGCTAATCTGATAATCTTCAATTCCACTTTCCTGCCTTATTTCATTACACTTAATTCTCTTAATGAGTGGAAATCTGTCCGTCTCAGCCTTGAATATACTTAACAGCCCAGCCTCTAAAGCCCTCTGTGTGGTATAGAATTCCACAGATTCACTAACTTCTGAGTGGAAAAAATTCCACCTCACCTATGTCTTAAATGGGCGACTCCTGAGCTTATGCCCTCTGGCCCGAGATTCTCCAAGGAGGGGAAATAACCCTGTCAATTCCCCTTAAGAATCTTGTAGGTTTCAGTAAAATCTCCTCTCATTCTTCTCGACCCCATTGAGTGCAAACCCTACCGACTCAATCTCTCCTCAAAGAAAATTCTTCCATACCCAGGATCAACCTAGTGACCCTTCTCTGGACTGACTTTGATGCCAGTATACGTATCTTAAGGGAGCTAAAACTGGCAGAAGGCATGATTGTCAAATTTGCTGATGACACAACAAAAGGTAGACAAATAAGTCATGAGAGGACTTAAGCAGGCTATAAAAAATATAGATTGTGATTGCTCAAAAATCTGGCAAATGATTAAAGTATGGGAAAACGTGAAATTGTCTTTTTTTGGGAAGCATGAAGAAGCACATTGAAGTGGTGAGAGGTTGTAGAGCACAAATGTAAAGGATATGGGTGGCCTAGTGCATTAACCTCAATTTGCTAGTATACTGATACAGATTAATTAAGAAAGCCGCTCTTCTGTTGTTGGAGGAAACAATTTAATAGCTGGAAAGGTGATGCATCACTTACACAGGGTGAGACCACATCTGGGGTACTGTGCACAAAATTGGTCACCTTATTTTAGGAATGATGTAAGTGCATTGGAAACAATTTAGTGAAGGTTTTCCAGACTAATGCCGGTAACAGGCAGGTTGCTTTGTGAGGAGAAGTTGAACAGGCTGGGCTCCAAACACTGGAGTTTAGATGAGTAAGAGACAACTTGATTGAAACATATAAGGTCCTGAGAAATTTTGGTAGTGTACATGTGGACAGGATATTTCCTCTCTCCCCTTTCCCCTTGTGGGAAAAATCTAGAATTAGAGATCACTGTCTAAAAATAAGGATACGTATTTAGAGATGTGGTGAAGTTTTTTTTGAGTTTGAGTCTTTGTACCTGTTTTCCTCAAAAGTCAGTGGCAGCAGAGTTCTTGAATATTTTTAAGACAAGTAAATAGATTCTTGGTAAGCAAGGGGGTGAGAGGTAATCTGCATGAGGCACGATAATGGATTTATGACCCCAGCAGATAAGCTGTGATCTGAGTAAATACCAGAGGAATCTTGTGAGACTGAATGGCCAACTGTTTCTATGTTTGTACTACAATTTATAGCATTTATTTATTACAATGAATCTTTGGAAACTTTTCTGCTCCTCTGCAAGGAAATATTTCCAAAAAAACCTCAATTTCTTTAGATACTTTTATCTTTGAGGCAATTCAAGAAGATGGCTCACAACTATATTTTCAAGGACAGTTATGAATGGGCAATAAACTTGGGCCTCACCAATCATACCCATATCCCATGGATGAACATAGAGAAAGTTCTGTCTTATTTGATTCAGGAATCCTGGGATCTATTGAGCTGCATACTTCGTATATATCTCAGGTTTTATATTCAATACTCCTTGATAATTCCATGTTCTTATAAATCATTCATTCATTTTATGTTCCTCCACAGAACTGAACTCACTATTAGCTTGTGAAATGCTTATTTTTGGAAAAAATTCCATTTGAAAGCTTCATCAAAGGTGCCAAAAGTTTAGAATTTTTAGCTGTTACCCTTTTTCTCCTTTCAGTTCTTCCTCTACTCCCACCCCAAGCCTGAAGAATTGGATCCTTCCTGGGGTGGGATTTTTGCAAGCACTGTGTGACCTCTACCAACTCAGATGCAATCATTATATTTGCACAAATCTTGACCTTCAAAACTGAATTCATTTTTGGAGATAGTAGTAGGAATTGCCGATGCTGGAGAATCTGAGATAACAAGGTGTAGAGCTGATGAACACAGCAGGCCAGGCAGCATCAGAGGAGCAGGAAAGCTGACGTTTTGGGGTCTGGACCCTTCTTCAAAATTCATTTTTAGCTGATATATCGCACCCATTCATGAAGCTCTGTATACTGCTTTGGTTGAGATCATGCAACTCTGTAATGATTATAGTGCAAATGTGGGACATGGTTGTTGTGACTTTTTTAAATTCATTCACAGGATAAGGGCATCACTGGCTAAGCCAGCATTTATTGCCCAGAGGGCAGTTAATGAGTCAATCACCTTTCTGGAGATCTAGAGTCACATGTAGGCCAGACCAGCTAAAGATGCCACTTCCTTCCCTAAAGGACATCAGTGAACCAGATGGGTTTTTCCAACAATCAATAATTAGACTGTGTTTATTCCAGATTTTTTTTTTTCAAATTTCCACCATCTGCCAATGGCAGGATTTGAACCGTGATCCCCTGAATATTACCCAGGCCTGTGGATTAATAGTGTAGAGATAAGACCAGTAGGCCATCACCTCCTCTGTAGTTGACCTTGTATTCAATCTGCTGAGGTTCATTGAGTTTTCAGCAACTATTTGGGTGGGAGCAGAAGGAATGTACTTGCATCTGAGGAGATCCTGGTGTCAAATCCAATGAATTTGGGTTTTTTTACTTATTAGGACATGCGATCTGGAACTCTGGTAAAGCCAACATTTATTACTGCTGATAGTTTTTCTTCAAAAAGATTTCAGTGATTTAATGAAATATTGCATATTAAATATTTAATTATCAAAAGATTTTCTTTCAAATTTGTTTAACATAAACTGTAAATCAATCCTCCTTATGTATGAAAGCTGTGATTTTTTTTTATTTTTAAAGGGACTTCAGTGTTTTTGTGCAGTTTGACAGCGCCAGGGACCTGGGTTCAATTCCACCCTCGGGCGACTGTCTGTGTGGAGTTTGCACATTCTCCCCATGTCTGCGTGAGTTTCCTCTGGGTGCTCTGGTTTCCTCCCACAGTCCAAAGATGGGCAGGTTAGGTGGATTGGCTATGCTGAATTGTCCATAGTGCCCAGAGATGTTCAGGTTAGGTGGGTTAGACATGGGGAAAATGCACGGTTAGGGGAATGGGTCTGGGTGGGATGCTCTTCAGAGGGACGGTGTGGACTTGTTGGGACAAATAGCCTGTTTCCACACTGTAGGAATTCTACGATTCTATGAATACCAACAGTGCACGGTCAATTCGTACACACTTTGAGGTTACCATGAAGAACTCTACTTCTCAACCTCTCCACTTGCCTGAGGTGTGGTGACCCTCAGGTTAGACCACTACTACCAGTTTTCTCTGTAACGAGAAAGCAGCCCTATTGTCCAGTAGGAATCTGGCAAATTTACTTTATCTTCCTCTTGATTTACCCTGACTTCCCAAGTTTGATCCTTGCCCCCAGTACTTCGTTTTAGTTTCAAAATCCTCTACTTCTCTAGTTATGTGACTGGCAAGCACACTGGCCCCAGCATGGTTCAGGTAGATGTTATCCCCTTAGTACAGTTCCCACTTCACAAGGGCTGCCACCACCCCACTGGTACCCACTTTTCCCTCACAAAGTCTTTGAGTCAAAGAACTCTTGAGCTAATGTGTCTCATCTCGTTTGCCATATGCCAATTTGTATGTGTCTCAGGTAATAATGCAGAGGTTACAATCTTTAATGCTCATTTGGCATCTCCTCATACTGACAATGCAGAACCTTATTCTTTGTTCTGCCTATGTTGGCAGTATCTACGTGGATGGTCTGGTCTATTACAGTCTGAAATAGACTTGAGACTCAAATGGAATTGTACCATATTAACTCTGGAGTTCTATTGGAAATGTGTTGACTTTGATCTGTTGTGCTTTAGTTTAGGTCTCATTTCAGATTCATTCCATATGTTCTTTGACTGTACTGCCCTTCTGGCTGGATTGGCAGCATCTGTGATCTCCAGGTGGCGGTCGAATGATACATTTTCCTATGGGTAAGAGCATGAGGTCTTATTGATGTTTGATTAGTAGCCGTTTTTTTTTTCTTTTTGATAATCAGTCCCCTCCTGTTTTCTTTCCAGTTACTGACATGGTTTTGGGAAGGCTACTGTCTGTCCTAGACTGAACCACAAACTCTACTAAAGTTTGCTTTAATTGTGAATAAATTTTAAGCTCTACTGTTATTTATTTGCAAAAGCCATAGATCTGTTGTATTTATTTTTATTTCTGTCTAAAGTAAAACAGGAATTTGACATTTATTCTCCTCCCTCCCCCCGCCCCCCCCTTTACTCATCCCATTTTCACAGATGTTGATGCTGCTTTTCCTTCTTAAAAATAATTTTTTATGCTTCTCTTTTTGCCCAAATGTATTATTGATGTATTCATCAATCAGATGCATGTTTACAATTGTAGCTTTCATTCTGACAATAGCTTCTCTGTGATCATTTGAGTCACTGTTTCTAATTGAAAAAGCATTTGGGTTCGTGGGTATCACAGATGAGACAATTTGACAGAGTCTTTTCTTTTACATATCATAATTTTGCATGGAATTTCAGTCTGATGTCATTATCAACAAAGTGCATCCAAATTTGGGATCAGGAAATGGTTACATATTGTAGACAAAGGGGAAACGTGCTATAAGAAATGAATATGGAGCTTGGAGTGTATCTTGGGTTGCCATGATTGAGGCAAGTAATGTGTAGACAATACAGGGATGAATTACAAAATAGTACAAGCCACAATGTACTATTAGAGGAAAGACATCATTTACACTGTCTGGTTATCTTGAACAATTGTATTTAGCAATTTTGAAGAAACCAGTTGTTGATCTTGGTCATGTAGTAACAAGATGATTATACTATTCCTTCATATTGTATTTTGTTTCCTTTTGGCAGATATGTGCGAGCAGAAGTTTTGGCTGGATTTGTGAATGGATTATTTCTGATCTTCACAGCCTTTTTCATTTTCTCAGAAGGAATAGAGGTTGGTCAGTGAAAGACATTATGGCTATACGTCAGCTGTAGGATTTCATGCTAGAAAATTCTTTTTGGTTCTTGAAAGAATGATATTTGACTGAAAATATGGCACTGGAGGAGCATTTTAGTGATAGTGAGCTTAGTTCAGTAAGATTTGAAGTAATTGTGGATAAGGACAAAGATGGACCGGGAATAAAGGTTTTGAATTGGGGTAAAGCTGATTTTTAACAAGACAAGACAGGATCTGGCAGAAATGGACTGGGAGCAGCTGCTTGTAGGAAAATCCACATCAGTGCAGTGGGAGACATTCAGAAGGGTAATGATGACTGTGCAGGGCTAACGGTCCTATAAAGGTCAAACGGGCGGTATCAACAAGTCCACAGAACCCTAGATGTCAGGATTAACAGAATTAGATGGGTGGTGTGGGAGAGCGGAAAGGAAGCTGATGAGAGATGCCAAAAGCTCAAAACAGTAGAGTTGTGCAGAAAGTTTGGGGGTTGCTTGAAGATATAAATTAGGAAAGCCAAAAAAGGACTTGAAAAAGCATTGGTTAACATTCATTATAGGAAAGAAATGATTATACAAGAGAGGGTGCAGAAGGGATTCACGAGGATGTTGCCTGAGCTGGAGTGATTCAGCAATGAAGCTAGACTTGATAGGTTGGAAGACACACAAAAAGGAATTGTTGGGAGAAACCCAGCAGGTCTGACAGCATCTGTAGAGAGAATAGAGTTAACGTTTAGAGTTGAGTGATCTTGTTTTAACATTGCGTTTCTGCCTTAGAAAACATCGAGGAATGCAAAGTTCTGAGGGGCATAGGCAGGGTAGATAGAAAGAAACATTTTGCCTTAGTAGAGGGGTCAGCAATCAGAGGCCACACTTTCATGGTAAGGAGCAGGAGTTCTACAGGGGATTTGAGGAAATTTTTTTTTAAACCCAGAGTAGTGTGTGTCTCGAACCCACTGCCTAATAGGGTGGTAGAGGCAAGATCCCGCAAGAGCTGTTTAGATGAGCACTTGAAATGCCATAGTATACAAGGCCAGGGGCCAAGTGCTGGGAAATCTGTTAAAAATTAGATTAGATGGGTGTCTGATGATTGGCATGGACACAGTGGGCTAAAGGGCCTCATTCCATGCTGTAAAATTTCTGACTCCTCTGAATGTCAATTGGAGTTGAATAAGATTTGCAACAGTTGCTTGGTGAAGTGATCTTTGTTGTGTTTTTCTACGTTTTGAAAACGTGATTTAACCACTGTCTTTGGAGTCGAATTTCGGTGATGCCTTAGGCCATCTTGTATCACACTGTACAGATTCATTTCCAATATTTTCAAAAGTGATCTCCAATTTTTCTTCTCTCCCATTTTATTCTCATGAAGATGTTACCAACTTGCTTGTGATCATATGCCCCTACAGAACTTAAGGTTTTTAGTGACTTTAGGCAGCAAGTGTGGGTGAGCTATTGATTATAACAGGCGTCATAGCTAAGCCCAACTCTAAATGTCATCATTATCAGAAGCTGAAACTGTGGCTATTTTCTCTACTTCACCCCCAACTTAAAAATACTGATAGGTTCCACCTTGGTTGAAAGCAGATAGCTCATAGCTCTGTAATGCACATTTAGGATACACATGAGACCATCTGATATATCTCAGTTATATGCTTATTGCGTTATCCGTTTTCAGTACAAGTGAAACCAATTTTATTTCTTTGGGTCAGTGGGAGTTTTTAGGGACTAAGGTGGTTTGCGGCTATAGTTTGGCCTTTTTTGGAAGATAGTTGGATTTACCATCACCGCTGCGCTATCAAAGGAGTTCACCGTTGGGCAAATTCAGGAGTCTAGAAATTACAGCATTGAAAAGAATAATTTGTATTGTGTGTGCCAATGCTTTTCTCTTTAATGTTGTCTACTTTAACTCCACTTTCTGCACTTAAAGGTTAAATATATAAAACCATTTTTAGTGAATAGTTATCTTTTTTTTTGTTGTCTCTGCCTCAGTAGAAACTTGTGGCAAAACATTGTTTGGCTGACCCTCTGAAACTTCTTAGAGCTTCCTGTTCCTAACTTCTAACTTAATTGGGGTAAGGGATAATCTGCAAGTGAATCATTTTAGACAATACAGCCACTGTATTGAGCACTTGCTTGCTCTTGCAATCTCTCTGTCTTTTGCATTGAGGAAGGTCAGTTAATTGACCCAATTATGATCACTGCAGAATTTTAAAAAAAAGCAATACCTATATTTATAAAATTAAGCCGGTTTTATTATATCTATTTAATAGGACTTGTTTGTTGGTGGAGCTCACTCTGTGATAGACAAGGACAGAGATACCTTAATAAAACTGTGTTTAAAGTATAAGAGCCAATGATGCCCCACAGAAACAAATCAATTTTATCTCCAGAACTTGATATTCCAATGTGCAGCCAAATCAAATCAGCCTCCCTATTCCAGTATTAGCAACACAGTTTTTTAAAAAATGTTTAGTGATTCTCAAAGTTGACCCCAATGGTTCCAAACCAGATTTTGAATAACCAGTACCAGACACCAGTAAACAAAGATTTAACAAGTATTAATAATGTTTTTGGCAGAGGAAATTTTAAATCACAACATAATCTAATTTCTATGATTTTAAACCCAACCTTCCTTGATTTTGGCACACTCACACAAAGAAAGACAAACAGGCAGAGTTGGATGATAAATCAAAGGGAACTTTTAAACTAGTATGGAGGTCAGGTAGGGGTATCCTAAGGAATAGGGAGAAAGCTGAGGATGGTTTGGAAGTTAAAGTGAGAAATTTTATTGGATAAGACAGACAAGAGCATGTTAGAGAACGAGGTAACTGTAGAATTAAGCTATTTATTTCAATGCAAGAGCTCTGACCGGTAAGCTGGATGAATTTGGCATGTATGGGAACATTGGACTGGGATATTATAGCTATCACAAATGTGGCTGAGGGAGGGATAGGACTGGCAGCTTAATTTTCTGGGGTTTAAATGCTATAGGAAGGATGGAAAGGGAAGAAAGAGAGGAGGGGGAATGGTGTTTTTCATTAGGGAAAACATCGTTGCTGTGCTTGGGGAGGATATTCCTGGAAGATTGTCCAGTAAAACTATATGGGTGGAGCTTAGAAATAAGAAATGGGTTATCACCTTGACATAGTCAGCAGGAAACTGTAGAGAGATCTCGCATATGTGTAAGGATAAATGGGTTGTAATAGTAAAGCACTTTAATTTTCCAAACATAGACTGAGACTGCCATAATGTTAAGGGCTTGGATGGGGAAGAATTTGTTTAATGTGTTCAAGAAATTTTTCTTATCAATATATTGATGTACCTACCAGAGAAGGAGCGAAACTTGACATTCTTTCGGGAAATAATTCTGGGCAAGTGACTGAAGTGTTAGTGAAGAGCACTTTGGGGCTAATGACCATAATTCAATTAAAATAGTTTTAAAATAGTTATGGAAAAAGGATAGGCCTTGTATAAAAGTTAAAGCTCTGAGTTGGAGTGAGGCCAATTTCGACTGTATGAGATAGCAACATTCAAAAGTTAATTGGGTTAGACTGTTTGCAGGTAAAAGGATGACTGGTAAGTGGGAGGCACTCAAAAGTGAGATGAGTGTTCAGAAGCAGTATGTTCCTGTTAGAGCGAAGGGTAAGGCTGGTAGGAGTAGGGAATAATGGATGAATAGAGATATTGAGGTTCTGGTTAAGAATAAGGAGGCATATGTCAGGTATCAGCAACTGGGATCGAGATAATCTTTTGAAGGTTACAAGGGGAGGAGGGGCATTCTTAGAAGGGCAGTCAGGAGGGCTAAAAAGGGATGTGAGCACTTTTGCAGGTAAAGTCAGAGTCCAAAGAGATTCTGCAAGTATATCAAGAGCAACTAGGGAGTGCATAGGCCCTAGGGAAAAGCAGGGTTTGGGGCAGACCTTCATCCAGTCTTCAGCACTGGCTTCATCCAGTCGCTAGTAGCATTATTAATTCAATAGAAGTGGGACAATCAATAAAGCGCCAGAGTTCAGTTTACAGTTAAAAGCATCGTGGTTCAAAGAAACAGACAGTAATGAGCAGATTTACAGATTCTTCTTTGCTGCAGCCATAGATTTGCCTCCCACGCACCACATCACATTATATATTCACACCCAAACTTCAATGACACTCATCATCATCCAGTCACGATCATGAATAGCAAGCCCACAGCCACGTTCTGCTACCGCCAGCAGGATTAATCACCTATCAGCAGTAAGTCTAAACTACCACAGACAGTATTGGCTCGACAGCAAAATAAAGCCTATGGTCACCAACAGCATCCAGCTTCCAACATAAACACAAAAATGCCAGCAGTATCAAACATGCCCTGGAATAATATCACCCAGTGCTCAAGACCAACATGATTCAGCAGCAAAAAACCCCAGCAGTAAAATCCAGTGACCAAGAATAATGATCTAATCTCCAGCAGCATCACATAACATTGGTGATTGGGATTTTCTCCAATGACTATGAACGCCAGCCATGGCAAAGCCCAATTAGAAACAATAACAAGCCACTTGCCAACAGCATTGACCAGGCGCCAACAACTAAATGCATTCATGGGTAAGACCATTTACCTGTCAGAAACATCAACAAAACTTAGTCACTGGCAATCACATCACCTGCTCACTGGCAGCATCTCCCACAGTAGTTTCCGCTTTGGTGTGGCAGTTCTCTAATGCTAAATATTCTGGGGATTATGTTAAATACCGTTCCCCTATTCATCAATCATATTATAGCCAATTCACATCGCTGGAACACATGTTAAAGGAGAACTCCCTGTATTTAAGAAAGGATGCAACGAGAAGCCAGCAAACTATAGACCAGTGAGTCTGACATCAATGGTTGATAACTTGTTGGAGGGGATTCTGAGAGATGTGATTTACGTGCATTTGGAGAGGCAAGGACTCATTGGGAGTAGTCAGCGTGGCTTTGTGTGTGGGAAATCATGTCTTTCAAACTTGATTGAATTTTTTTTTTTTTTGAGGATGTGACTAAAAATAGATGAAGGCAGAGTGGTAGACATCTGTGTGGACTTCTGCGAGGCCTTCGGCAGAGTTCCGCATGGTATGCTGGTTAGTAAAGTTGGCTCACATGGGGAAAGCTTGCCAGTTGGATACAGAATTGGCTTGATGATTGGAGACAGAGGGTGGTGGTGGAGGGTAGGTTTTCAAACTGGAGGTCTGTGACCAGTGGTGTTCTGCGAGGATCAGTACTGGATCCACTGTTGTTTGTCTTTTATAGAAATGATTTGGATGAAAATTTAGGAAGCATGGTTAGTAAGTTTGCGGATGACACCAAGTTTGATGGCATAGTAGATAGTGAGGAAGGGTATGTAAGATTACAAAGGGATCTTGATCAGTCGGGCCAATGGGCCAAGGAGTGGCAGATGGAGTATAATTTAGGTAAGTGTGAGGTGTTGCATTTTGGCAAGATGAACAAGGGCAGCACTTCACAATTAATGGTAAGGTCCTGGGGAGTATTGTTAAACAGAGACCTAGGGGTTCAGGTACATAGTTCATTGAAATTGGCAACAGTGTGTTAAGGAAGACATTTGATGCACTTGCCTTCGTTAGTCAGATTGTTGAATTTAGGAGTTGAGATGTCATGTTGCATATGTATGGGATATTGGCGGCACTACTGTGTACGTTTCTGGTTGCCCTGTTGTAGGAAGGATAAGATTAAATTGGAGAGGGTGCAGAAAAGATTTATTAGAGTTGAAAGGAGTGACTGGATAAGTTGGGACTTTTTCACTGGAGCGTAGGAGGTTGAGGAGTAACCTTTATAGAAATTTATAAAATCATGAGGGGTATGGATGAAGTAAATAGCAAAGGTCTTTTCCCTAGTGTTTGGATTTTTTTTCAGGTGGCAGGAGAAAAATTTAAAAGGGAGCTGAGGGACAACTTTTGCGCATGGAGGCTGGTTTGTATATGGAGTGGAACTTCCAGAGAACATAATAGATGCAGGTAGAGTTAGGACATTGGAAAGACATTTTGGAAAGAAAAAGGAAAAGTTTAGATGGATATGGGCCAAATGCAGGTCAGTGGAAGTAGTTTAGTTTGGGAAACATGGTCAGTGTGGATGAGTTGGACTGAAAGGTCTGTATCCGAAGAGTCTGATGTGTGACTCCATGACTCTGAATGAGATGTAACTGGCCAGTTCACTTTAGCTGACTCCATGATCTGTAACATCACTGGCACGTAGGATTATATCTTGCTTGGTTTCCTAAAACACCAGTGCATGCAGGTAGCTTCCAGTAGGCTTTGAGGAATATTCATTTAATTCTTATAACAGATTCTGTTCTGAGTTTCAGTAAGTTGGTAATGAGAGAATGACCAGAGAGCAATCAAACATCTGGCCTGGAGTTTTCACTGGCACGATCCTTCTGACGTAAAATACAATTCAAAAACCAAGTCACACTCTGGTCTCTCTTTATTAGACTGCCTATCTCCCTTAGGTCCCAACTAACGTTCGATATCTGCCATTTTTTTGAGCAGAAAGCCTCTCCATAGTCAAAGCATTTTATAACACACGTTTTAAGTAAGAAACAGCCTGCAATTAACTTTCAGACTTGGCCTCATGAACAAAAAACAGTTTGGTGTTTTTTGTAAACAAGCTGCTACTTTCACTCAGTGCTCAGTTTACAGTTCCAAAACAAAAATGTTTTTTATAATGAAAAATTGGTACCTGGTAACTTATTTCCTAGCTCTGGGCAAAAAATAATTCTGCTTGGCATAACCCTGGGAAATGGAGTACAGTGTGCAGAAATGTGAACTGAGCCACTTTCAGCTTAAGCATTTGCTAAATGGTGAGAAGCAGGAGTCAAAGTACAGAAGTAATTAAAAAATTTAATGAACAACTAAAAATTACTATTAAATTATTGTTGGACCCTGTTTTGAATACTGGGCAGCTGTTGAAGAATATGTTGGCTAACACAGTAGATAGAGGCAAAATGTAGGCATTTTTTTTTCTGTGCAGCAAGTAGATTTTGAATTAGAACATTGACCTTGATACTTAACACCTTTAATATGCATTTCACCAGGGTCATTATAAAATAATTTGTCATCAAGCCATATAAGTGAATTTTCGAGCAGATTGTGTAGCAATAGCCAACTCTCTTATTAGGATGAGATGATCAAGAGAAGACCAGTTTGAAGAAATAAGAGCAAGATGCACTGACTTTTGGTGTGGTACACTTCGTAAAGAATGAAGAGTGGAAGGGCTGTCAGGAAAGAGATTTTAGTAGGAATTGGACACTCTTTCCATAAGTATTAATAACTATTATCTGATTAACCTACACCTTCCTCTACGACAACATGAGAGACATGCAACACCACCAAGACGTTGATCAAAGTGGTAGGTCTTAAAGGAAGAAAGTTATGGAGGCAGAATGGTTTGAGGGGACGCACATGGCTTGAAAGTAATTACCGAGATGGAGAGCCAGTGAAATCAAAGAGGAATTGAAAGCAAGGATGAGGCATTGCTTGACCAGAAGTCTCAGTAAGGCAGCAACCATGAGTGACAGCTGAACAGAGGTTGGTGCGAGTATGGGTAAGGGCAACAGAGTTTTGGATGATTTCAACTTCAGAAAAGTTGGAATGTTGTAGGCAAACACCGAATGCCTTGGAATAGTTAAGTCTAGAGGAACAAGACATGGATGAGGCTCTAATAATATTAAAATAGGTGGTCATAATGAAAGCATGGAACTGTGGTTTGAAGCTTGTCCTGATTTGGATATGAAACCATATTTGGTTCAGCCTTTGAAACTTACTTTGGAAAAGTATGGAGGAATGGTGCTTATTGCAGAGACCAAAAATAATATCTTTGTCCTGCTCAATGGTTGACTGGATGAGAGAAATTTCCTCTCTTTCTTAACGTGCAGCAAGTATTGTGACAATTTAAAAACAGTCGAGAGAAGTGGTAGTGGATGTAGAGCCGAATGTCATCAGTGTACGTATGAACAACAAAACAGAACTTTTAACAGTTTTTCTGGAAAGTACAACCATTTCTTTCTGTTGATCCACAAACCATAAAAAAGACCCTTTACGAAAAGTTAATAAAAACCTTGTACATTTCTGACTGGAGTTGAAAAGTATTAGAATTGAATTTTGTGTAACAACATGTTGGACATCTGACTCGCTTTAAGGATGTGACATGGAACATGGCCTGCACCTGGAAAAAAAAACTAATTATTCTTCTACCTGTAAGATTATATCCAGCTTCAGTTCTCTTTCAGCTCTAATTTATTTTTTCTTTCAGAGAGCTCTAGAACCTCCTGAAGTGCACCACGACCGGCTGCTATCTATATCTGTGCTTGGGTTTCTGGTGAATTTGGTTGGCATTTTTGTATTTAAACATGGTGGACACGGACATTCTCACGACGGTGGTAAGTGACCAATTCTGTGAACTTGTAGAAACCCTGTAAGTATCGTATTGTTTATTTAAACTGATAATTAAGACC